GTGAGTGGCTCATCATCAGTGTCAATTCAATTGTGATCTTCGCAGGTTCTTTCTTGTGATTGGTTGTTGGGAGTTGTGTCAGAGAGTGAGAAACATTGTGTGTCTTCTCCCAATCTGTGCATAATTGTCTTCCGCTGCTTATTTTCACCTGTGTGCAGTTTGGACTCTGTCTCCTCTCTCCCCTTCTCTTATGCATGTATGGACATGTGTGAGATTGTCTGTGTGTGAGTGGCGATAAAATTCGTCAGGCAACCAAGTTCATAACAACATACTGTAACTGTGCAGACCAAAGCAAGAACCGACCTCTCAATACAAAGTACAAGATAGCGTAGCGGAAGACTTAGATACCAATGATCCGAACAATCAATATTGCAATGCAGCCCTGAACACACATCATCATCATCGTTCCATGGTGTGAAAGGGGTCAGGCGCTTCACACAGGAAGACCACGCCAGCCCCAACCATACACAGACGAAGAAGAAGGGGGTTAGACGAAGAGGAGGGAAAGATGGGAATGTCGTCAACACCAAGTCTTCGACACAGGCCCAAATAGTCCCTCGTCAAAATGTCTGAATCCCAAATGTCAAGTCTGGATCCAATGTCGTCAAGTCCCAAGTCACAACTCTCTCTCTTTGTCGTAGTCTGAGAAGTCAGGTGGTGAGAAGGTGAGAAGAGATGGTGGACTTAGAAGAGCAAGAAAACGAACTCTCTCTCTCTCTCTGTGTCCACTACTAACCTGTGAAGTTGGCGCCTTGATGCAGGTACCTCGAAGATGGAGCTGGAGCTATGGCGCCACAGGTAAGTACCGCTGGCCTCCGCCAGCCATCTCCCTCCACTGCTACTACTACCACCTACTAGCGCCCAGCGCTGAAGACTACACCTACAGCTATGGGCACCCAGCGCTGAAGACTACTGCTAGCGCTGAAGACTACTGCAGCGCTCCTCCTGAGTGCTGCGGCCGAAATCCTGAACAGTACCGTCTTACTGTCCAACTACCATGGGAACTTCCTATGTACTACCGGGTGCCTCCTGACTGCAGGCGAGGCAGTCCAGGAGGCTGCTCTTGCCAATGTCGAAGGGAGGCAGGGGCTGCAGCTGCAGCTCCTGCTCGAGCTGTCGTGGGGAACAGGCTAAAGATAGCCTGTTCCGAAAACCTTGTTTTTGTGCCTGAGTCCTAGGGTCGGTCGAAACGATGAGGGCCTGAAAATGGCCCTCCGTTTTAGGCTGAAAAGCCTCTGGGCCTGAAAGGCCCAGAAATAGGCTGAAAACGGAATAGGGCCTGCAGGCCCTCGTTTTTCAGTTTCAGGCTGAAACGACCGGGGCCTGTAAGCCCTATTTTCTAGGCTTTTAGGCTGAAAGTGCGGGATGGGCCCTGCAGGGCCCGTGTGGCTACGCAGTATGCCACACCCCCCCCTCCTTGAAAGACTGAGCTTACCTGCGAGGGCGAAGCTGTCTGTCTGAGGGAGGGACCACAGTCTGGGTGGGAGGGGCCGGTCGTGAAGCTTCCTGAGCTAACCTTTGCTTCTCATAATGCGCGTAGATCAGCGGTGCGGATGCTTTCAAATCTGCTCCTGAAATCCACCTAGTGTCGTCCCGATTGCAGGCTTTGAATGTCACTTTGTACTGTCGGAGCTTGCTGTCGTACTTGCGATTGGTGATGACGCGGTCAACTTCCTGATGACCATCCATAGAAGGAGGGTCCTGCGATCGTCGGCCCGGAAAGTCGTCGCTCTTAGCTGGCGTGTATGTTGCCAGCTTTGAGGCGTGAAAGACTGGATGGACCGTCAGATGCGGGGAATGTTGATCACAAATGAAGGGTCATCGGGCTCATCGCCCGCGGCTGATGTTACAGGCCATGGTCCAAACCACTTGGGAAGCAGTTTGCGTGAGACATCCTGTTCCAGTGCAAACTCTTCCGTGGAAACCCAAACCAGGTCGCCGGCGCGGATGGGACATGGCACTCGATGCCTGTTGGCTTGCTGCTGCATGCGGACTTGAGCCTTTTGCATATTTGTGCGGGCTTGAGCCAGCAATTCCCTGTACTTCCGGACGGAAGCGGGAGAGCAAGCGGCATCGATGTCGGTTGGTCGTGGGAGGAGAAGGTTGGCGAAGATACGGTCTTTCCGTCCACCATGGTGCAACTCGAATGGAGTCACATCATTCGCCTGGTGCACCGAAGTGTTGTAGGCGAACTCGATGTCGGGGAGGCGGTCAACCCAATCTTTCTGGTCTAGACGGATGAGCGTACGAAGCATCATTTGAGACGTCTGATGAGCCCGCTCCGTCTGCCCGTCTGTTTGTGGATGCCAAGCCAAACTTGGCTCCTGCATGAGAGCAGTCCAAAATGCCGACATGAAGCGAGTGTCGCGGTCGCTGACTATGTCTTTCGGTATACCGTGGACACAAATCCAACCGGTCTGCAAGAGGCGTGCCAGCTCGGGAGCCGTGGAGTAGTACTTGCAAGGGAGAAACCGTGCATACTTACTCAAACGGTCCACAACCCTGAGGATGTCGTCGTGTCCGAGGCGGTCGCAGGGGAATGGTCCGGTGACATCCATGGCAATGGAGAGACCGGGTTCCTGCGGGATCGGCATCAGGCGCAGCTCGCCGTAGGGGTTGCGGTTGCGGGGTTTGCTTCGTCGGCAAACTTCGCAAGAGTCGCAATACCTCGTGACGTCGGTGATGAGGTCGGGCCATCGGAATCGTTGTCAAAGCCGTGCAATAGTGCGGTTGACTCCAAAATGGCCGGCGAGTCGCGAATCATGATACTCGTCGAGGAGGCGAGTCCGAAGACGGCGGTCGCGTGGGACACATAGTAAGTCCTTGCCCCGCGANAATAGGGCCTGCAGGCCCTCGTTTTTCAGTTTCAGGCTGAAACGACCGGGGCCTGTAAGCCCTATTTTCTAGGCTTTTAGGCTGAAAGTGCGGGATGGGCCCTGCAGGGCCCGTGTGGCTACGCAGTATGCCACACCCCCCCCTCCTTGAAAGACTGAGCTTACCTGCGAGGGCGAAGCTGTCTGTCTGAGGGAGGGACCACAGTCTGGGTGGGAGGGGCCGGTCGTGAAGCTTCCTGAGCTAACCTTTGCTTCTCATAATGCGCGTAGATCAGCGGTGCGGATGCTTTCAAATCTGCTCCTGAAATCCACCTAGTGTCGTCCCGATTGCAGGCTTTGAATGTCACTTTGTACTGTCGGAGCTTGCTGTCGTACTTGCGATTGGTGATGACGCGGTCAACTTCCTGATGACCATCCATAGAAGGAGGGTCCTGCGATCGTCGGCCCGGAAAGTCGTCGCTCTTAGCTGGCGTGTATGTTGCCAGCTTTGAGGCGTGAAAGACTGGATGGACCGTCAGATGCGGGGAATGTTGATCACAAATGAAGGGTCATCGGGCTCATCGCCCGCGGCTGATGTTACAGGCCATGGTCCAAACCACTTGGGAAGCAGTTTGCGTGAGACATCCTGTTCCAGTGCAAACTCTTCCGTGGAAACCCAAACCAGGTCGCCGGCGCGGATGGGACATGGCACTCGATGCCTGTTGGCTTGCTGCTGCATGCGGACTTGAGCCTTTTGCATATTTGTGCGGGCTTGAGCCAGCAATTCCCTGTACTTCCGGACGGAAGCGGGAGAGCAAGCGGCATCGATGTCGGTTGGTCGTGGGAGGAGAAGGTTGGCGAAGATACGGTCTTTCCGTCCACCATGGTGCAACTCGAATGGAGTCACATCATTCGCCTGGTGCACCGAAGTGTTGTAGGCGAACTCGATGTCGGGGAGGCGGTCAACCCAATCTTTCTGGTCTAGACGGATGAGCGTACGAAGCATCATTTGAGACGTCTGATGAGCCCGCTCCGTCTGCCCGTCTGTTTGTGGATGCCAAGCCAAACTTGGCTCCTGCATGAGAGCAGTCCAAAATGCCGACATGAAGCGAGTGTCGCGGTCGCTGACTATGTCTTTCGGTATACCGTGGACACAAATCCAACCGGTCTGCAAGAGGCGTGCCAGCTCGGGAGCCGTGGAGTAGTACTTGCAAGGGAGAAACCGTGCATACTTACTCAAACGGTCCACAACCCTGAGGATGTCGTCGTGTCCGAGGCGGTCGCAGGGGAATGGTCCGGTGACATCCATGGCAATGGAGAGACCGGGTTCCTGCGGGATCGGCATCAGGCGCAGCTCGCCGTAGGGGTTGCGGTTGCGGGGTTTGCTTCGTCGGCAAACTTCGCAAGAGTCGCAATACCTCGTGACGTCGGTGATGAGGTCGGGCCATCGGAATCGTTGTCAAAGCCGTGCAATAGTGCGGTTGACTCCAAAATGGCCGGCGAGTCGCGAATCATGATACTCGTCGAGGAGGCGAGTCCGAAGACGGCGGTCGCGTGGGACACATAGTAAGTCCTTGCCCCGCGAGTGCAGGAGCAAGTACCCATCGACGATGCGATAGTGGCTGACGGGCGGGTGATCCGAAGATAGTTGCGCATATAGCGTGGCGAAATCTGGATCGGACTCATAGCCCCTGATGAAGTGTCGCTGRAKCTCCTCGTCGAATGCGAAGGCATGATGTGTCATAGCGCAAAGATCAGGTCTTCGCGAGAGTGCATCTGCTGCACGATTGGAGAGGCCGGGAAGATGTTTCGGTGTGAAGTCAAATTGGTCGATGAAGTACATCCATCGTCCGATCGTGCTGCTTACCGTATCCTGCGTCTTGTAGTAGGTCAATGGATTGTTGTCCGTGACCCATGTCAACCTACGACGCCAAAGGAGGAAGTGTCGCCATCGCTTGACAGCCATGACGAATGCGAGCAGCTCCTTCCTTGCATCATCAAGCGAGTTGATGGGAGGCACTTTGTGGCTGAAATACTCCACAGGGTGCCAGTCGTCGCCGTCGTGCTGTTCCAAGACTGCCCCAATGCCATAGCCGGAAGCGTCAGTCATCACTCTCATAGGCAGGGTGGGGTCATAGATGCTAAGGACGGGTGCCATGAGCATAGTCGTCTTAAGTGCTTGGAATGACCGGTGTGCGTCGTCATCGAATACGAATGGTACCTTTGGCGATTGTAATCTCGTCATAGGTGCAGCAATCCTCGAGTATCCGGTGATGAATCGCTGATAGTAACCCGCCAATCCCATGAATGAACGAACGTCCATGGTGTTGGTGGGCTCGGGCCATACTCGTAGGGCCTCGATCTTGTCCGCAAGCGGACGGATGCCTTGCGGCGTCGCATAATGTCCCAAGCACTCCAGCTCCTGCCGCGCGAATTCGCACTTGTCGCGGTTGGCTTTGTACTTGGCTTGTCGTAGCCGCTCCAAAACGGTGCGCAGGTGTTCCACATGCTCCTCCAAACTCCGGCTGTACACCAGGATGTCGTCGAGGTAGATAAGTACGTATCGATCCAACATGTGTCGGAACTCTGTTGTCATAGCCGCTTGAAAAGTGGTCGGGGCATTCGTAAGGCCAAATGGCATAACTAGCCATTCGAAATGCCCATATCGCGTCCTAAACGCGGTCTTGTAGCGATCCTCCTGCCGAATCTCGAGTTGGTGATATCCCGACTTGAGGTCAAGCTTGGAGAAGAACTTGGCGCCGCCCAGTCGTTCGAGAAGGTCGCTGATGCGTGGGAGAGGGCCGGCGTTTTTGATCGTCTGCGCGTTGAGCTTGCGATAATCGATGCACAACCGCAAATCCTTGTTCTTCTTCCGRACGAAGAGAACAGGAGCACCGTCTGGCGATGAGCTAGGCCGAATCCATCCTTTCTCCAGAAGGTCGTCGAGTTGTGCCCGAAGCACACTTAACTCTTCCTCGCTCATTCGGTAGATGCAACCGCGCAGAGGTACGGCCCCGTCCTCGAGGATGATCTCGTGGCGGATGGGCCGATCCGGTACTACTCCGTGCGGGCCTTCGAGCACGTCGCTGTAGGCGTCGAGAAGCTCGGTGATGCGTGGATCCAAAGATGAGTCCGTCGGTAAAGCGTCATGGGGCGGGAGGGCGTGGAGAAAACACACCCCCATCTCCTCGATGTCGTCTCTGATGATGGAAGCTCGCATGCTTGCGGCGGATACCACGTGACAGCTGATTGAAGGGTGAGGAGGAGCTACCGTGTATGGGACTAGTACTCCGTTTCGATCACGAACTTGAACGGTGCGGCGATAGAAGTTCACCGGGTGATCCTCGCTTTCGCAGCCATGACATGCCCAAGATCATGTCGAATTTGGTGTCCAAAATGTCTAAGGACACCGCCTCACCTGCGTGAGGGGCAAAGTACACTGGGACGTCATCAATGCACCGGTCGATTGACTTGTGCGTGTGACCGTCAGCCAACGTGACTTGCGAGGGCTGGGACTTCCTTCAGACTCGTGGGCCAAGGCCGGCGCGTACCATGAAGTCCTGACTCATGTAGTTGCGAGATGCTCCGCAATCGATCAAAGCGCTGCAGGTCGCCTCTCCGATCTGAATGCGTACATATAGCAATGGTGCGTCGATGTCGTCGTACCGTTGCGTCTTGAACTCGCGGTTGATCTTCGCAATGTAGGCGTGAAGGTCGACAACCTCTACTCCAGCGTCTATCAACGGAATCGGTACTGAAGTGTGCAAGTAATCCCGCAATTGTGCCTTAAGCACGTTGCAATGCGGTTTCGGCAATCGACCGGACCGGGGAAGGGGCATCCATTGGAAGTCCGCAAATGTCAACGGGTCGAGCTCTTCAAGTCTTGACCATGACGTTGAATCCCCGGCGGTAGATGGCGGCAAAGTTGCCGAATTGGTTGCCGATGGTGATGAAACCGTGCATGCGGTAGATTGTTGCACGTGGAGCGGTTGGTCCAGCAGTGGGACCAAGTGGACAGCATAGTCCTCGTAAGCATAACGAGAACTTACGACATTCGCATCCTCCCCAGATGTGTAGGAGGTCGTTAGCAAGGCGGCCGAATCTGGCGGAGTGGGAGGTGGAGTCACCTCACCTCCCGCGAAACTCAGTTTCACGAGCTAAGACGAGGCCGCAATTTCCTTGGCCTGATCCTGGCAAAGGGAGGTCTTGTGCTTGGTGTTGTTGCACCAGTAGCAGCAGCCGTAACGGCCGCGGTACTTGTACTCGGCCTCGGTCAAGTTGAACTTGACCGATGGTGGTGCTGGCTGTCCGTTTCCGACATGCGATGCTGGTTTCGCCTTCCCATTTACTCGGGGCTTGTTGTTGCTTCGCGGCTAGAAAGCAGCCACATGATCTCCCTCACGTGACGCTTGGGTGGCTGCTTGGTCTTCCACAGTGTTGTCCGATTGGACTGCAGCGAACTGCTGCTGCTACGGACCAGTTCTCACCTTCTCCACATAGGTTGGCTGCCACGTTGACTTCTCGTGAGCAGCCGCCCTGTTGGTCTTGATGATCTCTCTCGCCTTGTCAATAATTTCGGCGAAAGCTGCATACTGCTCGCGATCACCAAGTGCCTGGCTCAATGCAGCGCATGACCTGTTGTAGAACTCACGGCGCAGATGTGGAAATGGTAAGTCAAGATCGGGCGTTGCCGCGATCTTCTGCCATTCCGTGAGCCAGTCACGTGTTGTTGTGTTGCCTTGAGTCATGGTGAAGAGACAGTTGATGGCGAGTGTTGGTGCGTTGTGGACGATGAACCGCTTCTTCCATAGCCATGTTAACTCTTCCCTTGAGACCTTGTCTTTCAGATCTGCGACGTCGACGCCGTGGGTGGCTGCCAGGTGGGTTAACCAGATCTGGCATCCACCCTTTGAGTTCATGAACAGGGCGCCGATGTACGCGTGCTTGGCAACAGGCAGAATCCGAAGTTGCGTCGTGAAAGCTTCCCACCAGAGCACCGGGTTTTGATGTATGTAGTCGTCGAACTTCTCAAGTTGAAACGTTGGCATCTTGTATTGCTTTGGATTGTTGCCATCCGTGTTCGTCGACTGCAGCTGCTGGACCTCGGTCTTCAAAATATCCAGCTGATTGCTGATGGTGGTCAGCGCAGCGAAGGTGCTGATGTCGCCGAGCATTGCGACGACGTGGTCGACGCGTTGCTCTAGTTGGCGGTGAGAGGGTGCACTGCTGGACTCACCAGCATCTGGTCCTGGTACGGCGTGCTCCAGGTCCAATACACGGGAATTGAGTGCCCGTGTAGCATCCTCATGGCTCTGCACTATCCAGCGGAGGTTTGCCAACTCCTGGTGATGTCTTCAGATCCTGATACTGTTGCTGCAGTTCCGGGTTCTATCTCTCTAACTCGGACCGTTGGTAGTTGCAAGCGTACAACAACCGTGTCACGAGTTTGGAGAGGAACTCCTTATGTTGCTCTTCTGGTGTCGCGTCGTCGTCGTTGGACGGTTCAAAGTGCCAGAACTTGAGGCTTTCGATGCTGGCAGCTTCATGCCGCTGCAGCAGATCTTGGGCCTCCTTGCGACGTGCCTGGGTATCTGCGTCTGCTTTGGCCTGTAGCCGCTGCTTCAGCCTGTAGGCGGGCAGCCTCGACTGCTAGCTGGCGCTGTTCCTCAACCTCGATCAGAGCGAGATGAGCCTGGAACCGCTGTTTGTAGTCGGCAAGAGACTCGTTGGCCAGTTGGCCTGGCATGCCCAGAGCTGCGCCCGTCATGGTGGCGAGGCACTGCTGACGTGGCACTGTGACATGGCACTGTTACTGTCGTGGCACTACTGGCGTGGCACTGCTGACGTGGCACTGTGTGACGTGGCACTGCTTGGCAATGTTGACGTGGCACTGTATGACGTAGCACTGTTGACGTGGCACTGTGGCTGGCATGGCACTGCTGACGTGGCACTGTACCAACTCGGAAATACATGCAAAAGGGTGGGTGGGAGGGAAAACGTAGGTAGGCAACCAACCCAACAATACTTTCCTCCGGCCCTAATCAACAGATAAATAAAAAAAATAAAAATAAAAATAAAATATGAGTATTTTTTTTTTTTTTTTTTTTTTT